GAAAGCTCACGAACTACCTGCTGTAAAGGATTTCATCGCTGAGTTTGGCAAGAAGACTTTACGTGCAGGCGACTATATATCGTACCATTCACCAGGCTATGGGGACACAGACAGAGGTGGCAGCATGGTTCAAGCTCGCATACTGGCCATTGACCCTGATGGTGATCGATACCCGTTAACGCTCGACACAGGGGACTTACGGATTACAACATGGAATATTGGATCCGACAAAGACACTCAAGGGCAACGACATCTACGCAACATTCGTCCTTTCGAGCTCGTTAAAAGTTCAATTTCCGATCCAACACGTCGCGAGCAGTTTGCAGAAGCAATTCGCGATATTCCAGATAAAATAATGGCAGATTTAAAGAGCAGGAGGCACAAAAAACGTTTGGAATACTTGTCTAACCACAACGTGAGCCATGGCGATTTATCCGTTCGACCCCAAATCTGATACTGGTGCGGCTAGTGCTCAAGAAACACCCTGTCCTCAATCTGTTCGTTCAACCGCAGCAGCAGTGAATGAACGGTCTGTTACTCTAGTGTGTTCTTCCGTTCATACACAATCCAATTGTATTTGTTTCAAGTTCCTGCCTCACAAGCGTTATCGTCTCCAGAGCGTGCTAAAGAGTTGCTGAACAATATGCCTCTTTCGAACATGGTTGGCGTAACGGGTATGAACACTACGATTCATTTAGCACAGAGTTTCTTCCGTACTGAGACTAGTGACGCTACACATTGGCGCTCACCGAATTGAAGAGGGTTACCGACCTTGATGATATTTCGTATCCTCAGGTGATTATAATAGACTGTGATATCGCTTTGATGAATGCGTTGGAAACTGTATTTTTTTCGGAGTTCCTGTTATATTGTGTGTTTGGCATATACTAATAGCTGTTAGAAAACATGCTCGAAAAACTCAAAGAGATGATACTCGTACCGCAAGTACTCAAACTCAATGATTTTGTGAGTATAGCAATACCCGTGCCGACACTACACAACACAGGATCTCTAAACCAAAAATGAGGCAGATCGATCCGAAGATCAAGTACGTGCAGTTCATAAGACCTCGTCTTCAAAAACTCAATCTAAAAAGAAACGGAGGGAAAACAAAGTTGAAGATTCAGTTAAGGTCGAAACGTTTTGTGAAACCTATCGACTAGTCACTCAAGCATCAACAGCAGATGAATATGGAGTATATCATCAACAACTGCATCAGCAATGGTCAAGAGAGGCGCATGATGTAGGCACAATGTAGTTAGACATGTGGAAAATGCATTGCTGGACCGATCGTCATGTTCACTTCGATATATATGCAATCTCACGCGTTGAAGGTTACCACGCAGCCCTTAAAAGATGGCAATAATCCAGAGGTGACTTAAAAAAAATGTATCACGCAATGAAAAGAAAATTGTGGTGACGAAATTCCATTAAAGACAATCGAGATGTTGTATCGGATGAAAGTGTGAGGGTTCCTAAAACTTTACGTGGACCTCTTTTCGTTGATGTCGTTAAAACCATACATCAGATGCTTCAAGATTGTTACTTGGCCAGTCACGAACGTATGCAGCAAAGTGTTCGCCCATTCGACAGGGTCGCCGTGCCCTTACCAACTTCTACAGCTTCAACAGGAGTGGAAGTCTCTACAAAAATCCGATTTTCACGCTCATTGAATGATTGATAGATTTACAGAGCCTGGATCACCTTGTGCAATGGTATTTGAGCCTGACATCACAACACGACGCGCGAACAACAACAAAAAAAAATCACACAAGAAAGGACTTGGAATCTCTGGACACGAAGACTTTTGTCATCCATCGAAAGATCGGAGGCAACAC